AATATAGTGGTACCTCTGAGGGTTAATTTCCAGTTAATCTTATGTTAGAGGTTTAATATTTACTTATTCTTGCTGTTAATTTCCAATCTCCAGTGTAGTGCTTAACAGAGTTCGTCCCATCAGTTTGATGGGTGACATAGATTGACTTACCTCTGCCAAAGGACCCAGCTGTGTCTGTACAATGTCTGTATAAAACTCTAAAGTCTTGTGTGGGTTAGGTTTGTCCAAGAAGGTAGTTTACTACATGGAGGATACGTCTGTCTAGTCTGTACTGCAGCCGTTCACTTAGGAACAGCACCATATCCCTGTGCTGTGCCAGGCTTAAAAGCATGTGCTGGGTGATGGTTTGGAAGGAGAGGAATGTCTCTTTGATTTGTGCTGAAGCTCTGTGAGTTTTGTCCTTCTTCATCTCCAGTGTTCTGCAGCGGGAAGCCTGAGGAGCTGTCAGTTTTATGGCTTCTTCTCTGAGTATCTTAGTTTTTGCTGTGGGAGAGGGTTAAACAAGAGTTAAACTTGATGCCCGGCCTGTTTCTTCCCCAAACAATGGAATCATGAATGTAATTTTCTTCTCTGTGTTTTTGCTTAATGTGCTCCTAATAATATAGCTGGAAGTGGCAGATGGGGATCCTGCCTCCGAGTGCTTCACTGTTGGGAATATGCTGATGCTTTGCTGGAATGTGTCCTATAGCTGAGCTGCTTTTTGGCTTCTGACCAGTGTTTCTTTTCATGCTGCTTCAAGGTGCTTCAGAAAGTAGTTTGTCAGCTTTGGAGATGCCCTGGCCTCAAGATGGCAGAGCCATGAATCACCCCCGTGATCAAGGTAGCCAGGATGGGACTGAAATCTGTAATTTTGTCAGGATTCCATTCCTTAGCATTCCCTCAGTAGTAAACAAGCAAATACTTGGCACATGTTGTCATTAGAGAGGCACTGAAGATGATACGTTTTCAGTACTGGCTAAAACATGCTCTCATTGAAAGCTGCACTTCCTCTGCTGGATATTTTGGCCTTAAGCTCCTCTTGTCCCCAGGACCTACTACACAAGTTTCTTTAGCCTGGTCCTTGTGATAATGGAGCGATCCCTTGGGTTCCTTTCCTAAATGTGAGGCTGAACATGCCCTCAGCTCATTGAGCAGAAGCTGCTGTTGAACCCAGAGCAATGCTCTTCCTCCAGCTGTGCTCCATCCCAGTCAACATCTGGGCTGCTACAGAACATGGGTTGTTCACCTTCTCCACTCCCAGCATGTACATGGTGGCACCAAGACAGTCCCTGATGTGCTAGATCCACTCCCCTTTGCTTTCTGAGACTGAGCAGCTGCTATTGCTGTGCTCATTGACGGGGACAAGGGGACTGGAATGCTCTGGGAAATAGGAGTTTCCCTGTTGGAAATGTCACAGGAAGCACAGAGGAAATCATGTGGTTTAGGAGTGGTTACCTCACTTCTCTGTCTCATCCCACCCAGCGCTATTCCATCAGTGTCCAGGACCTAAACAATGCGATGCCAGCTGCCCTCTGAATAAACCATCTTCCATTTCCACACAAGCTGTCGGGCTGGCTTGGAACACCCCATGAGGAGAAGAGGTTGGGTTGGCTTGTGACCTTTCATTTTGCCTGCCTGCCTTCCAAGCCGCTTGCTTCCCCTTGGTCTGCTGTTGTAATTAATAACTCTTCCACATGCTCTGGTTGGGAGCACAGCCCAGAAATGGTCATCTCTGTAGGTAGCTAGAGCTGTTCTGTGTCTATAATATCTCTCTATTTCATGTTCTACGTGCTCTGCCAAGGCTGCTGGGGATTGCTGACCAACACTGTGGTGAGACACCCTCCTGGTGAGATGGACCCGTGCTGGTGTTTCAGACACCCCCAGTGAGTAGAGAGCCTGGGACATCCCGTGGCTCCTGCTGACTCTTGCTGCTGGGCTCTGCAGGAAGACGCCCTGAATGCTGGTTTCAAACAGACAGCTCCAACTGCAGGGATGGGGACAGGCAGGAGAGTCCTTTTTCGTGTTCCTCTGGCTGAATCATGGGACGTAAACGTCTGAGTCACGGCAGATGAATGTGGTGTTTCACGTCGGTGTGAACTGAAATGTGAACAACAGTGCCTTTATTAGAGGAGCTAATATCTGTGCTCATTATGGGCTTCATTAGATTTTAAAGTGAAAATCCAGAAGAGTTCCTTTTACAATGTATATAAACAGGCTATTAACATGGGAATGACGAGGTTTTAATGGGATGCTGGGCTGGATGGAGAGGAAATGAAACTTGGGAGGAAAGTGATGTACCCCACTCTTGGGCGTTCACTGCCCATAACCAGTCATCTTGTTTCCTTTTAGCCATCTGACTCCTGAAATCCTGTAAGATTTACAGGGATAACTGGGATTTCTTTCTTTTTAGAAGCTCATGTTGAAGGGACTGTTGCTTTCCTTTAGAAAGCTCTTTGCTATTCCGTGCTGCTTCTTCTTATGAAGAGCTTCACGTGTCCCTGAGGAGTGAAGGCACTGCTCTGCTTTCTTCTGGTTACTGTGCAGCTAAGTTAGATGGTCCTTCTGCAGTGTTATGAGAATATGGGAAACTTGTTCCTTGTCCTGGCTTGAAATGTGACTTTTCCTTTATCCTACATACCCAGATGGACAGGACAAGGGGAATGGCTTTGACCTGCCAGAGGGGAGATTGAGATGAGCTCTGAGGCAGAAGCTCTTCCCTGGGAGGGTGCTGAGGCGCTGGCACAGGGTGCCCAGAGAAGCTGTGGCTGCCCCATCCCTGGCAGTGTTCAAGGCCAGGTTGGACACAGGGCCTTGGAGCAACCTGCTCTAGTGGAAGGTGTCCCTGCCCATGGCAGGGGTTGGAGCTGGAGGAGCTTTGAGGTCCCTTCAACACAAACCCCTCTGGGATTCGATGTTTTTTCTGTATCTCTTTGCTCCTCGAGCACCACAACCCTGCGTTTCAGAAGCCAATATTAATGCTTCTGGTACAAATACAATTACAAGTGTCTTTGCCAAATAGTTTTGTTGTTCTTTGTGATGATTGTAAATTTAAGCTGATGTTTCGTGTTTTACTCATGTAGAAATAAGGAATCGGGCATGTGATTGTGCTGTTGTGTTTTAACAACCTCCCGTGTGGCATCTCTTCTGCAGCAGAGCTTTGTGCGCCCTTCACTTGCAGCAATGCAGCATCAAATGCAATGGCTTCAATCCCCTTGGCAGGCAGGCAAGCCTCAATGCAGTGTTCAGCATTCTGTAGCATTTCCAGGTGCAGGGATACTTTTTCCAGGCCTCTTTCCAAGCTGGACAGCTGATTTACAGACTTGGAGAAGTTGCCCAGCCTCTATCTCCCAACTTTGTGTGCCTTTGCCAGATGGCAGCATACTTCAATGGCTTTAAAATGGCTTTTTCTTTGTTTCAAAGCAAAAGAGTCTTCAATGAGGTGGAGATGCCTGAATCAGGGTGTTAATTGCCCACAGTGAAAGTCAGGAGTACTTGGAAGACTCACTGCTGTGGCTGACCACAGGCAGAAACAGGCTCCTCTTCCAAGCAGAGAGATGGCTGATGGTGGGAGGCCAAGAAGAGCAACGCTCTCAGGAATGTCCGTATGTGTTGTGCGAGGGAGGACGGTGCTATTTGCCCCTCCGCCTCCTCGTGTCTGCTCATCTCTTGTTCCTCCACCTGCTCCTGCCACTGCGCTCTTGCTTTCTGTGGGCATGAGGAAAGCGGGTGCTGCTGGAGGGGGAGAGGGTGCAGAGATGATGCCCTGCTTCCTCCTGGGGTTTTATGGCTGTGGTTTGGAAGAGGGGAACGGATTGAGATGAGCTCCGAGGCAGAAGCTCTTCCCTGGGAGGGTGCTGAGGCGCTGGCACAGGGTGCCCAGAGAAGCTGTGGCTGCCCCATCCCTGGATGTGTTTAAAACTGCTTTTTCTTACATGGGAGAGAGCAAACCTGGATGTGCCGGATGAGTTCAGGTTCCTGAGTAGTCACTGGTGTGATGCTGCAGCTGAAAATTGGTTTTCCTTTTCCCCTGAGTTAAGATGAAGCTTCTGGATGTTGAAAGGTTTTCCCATTCCTTCGTGTATGGTGTTACAGGGGTTGGGAATGGTCTGTAGCTTCACTGAATTCCTGACGCACATCTTGGTGGAAAAGTAAAGAATCCAAGTGGATATGTTGAAACTCTGGAGGTCTTTGTTATTGTGATGCAGGTGGTGAGGGGGGTATTTGTTACCTTGACCAGCAAGAGCTGACACACACGTACAAGGTAAACTCTGCTGCTGTTAAATGTAGATCGGATGAGATGACCCATCCTGGCTCCTACCTTCTTCCTGGTAACTTCAGGGGAGAGAGGAATTGCTCTGAAATTGTATTTTCATTATACCTCTGGCTAGATGCATATCAGCTCCGGCACTCTTTGTAATGCCCTTTATTCAGGCTCTACAACAGTTAGAGCACCACGCGATCTCGTTCATTACCTCCTTGCTTTGTGTATTTTGCAGGCTCAGGTACACAATTCCCTCCTTATCCCAGGTGGGAGGTGAAAGCCCTCCATGTAGTGATGTGCCTGGTTTCTCCAAGCCCTTCCCTGAGCAGATTCCAGCAGTCTCCCTCTCTCCTCACTCCCGGCTTTTCTCTCTTCTTGCTAAACTTGACGCGAGGAAGGAGCGAGGGGTGTTGATGATTTGGATTATGCAGCTAAGTGGCTGGAGCATGGCTGGTTGTCTCCTCCCCTTCCTGAGCTTCAGCCCTAGCCAGCTCGGCTCTGGAATGACAGGCATTCTTAGGGAGCTGGCACGGACGCCTATTTATGAGAATCAAGTGCCCGGCCATGGGTTATGGGGAGAACAGGAGCAGTGCTCAGCCACCGGACACCATTGCTTGAGAACTGGCAGCAGCCTCGTTCTTTCCTAGCCCAACGTGCGGATTTATCACTTTAAAGGACTCAAGTGCTCTCTCAGGGTAGACTTTTCCCCCCTCTCTCCTCCTCCCGCCTCCTCCTGGGGAGCTGCTTTGGAAGGGAGCTCATGGGGCAGCCGCACTTCTCGAGACCGGTCAATCCAGCTGCTTTCGGTGAGTAATGGAGGCCAAGGGAGACGTGGAGGGAGCTCTGGGGCCGCGGCAGGATTGCAGGTGAAACAGAGGAGTTGGGAGGAGTGGAATGTGGGGCTTGTGTAACCTGCGCCCGGCTCGGGAGCTGGGAAGAGAAACCAGAGCAATAACTCCCATTTCCTTCCTTTCTCTTACTCATGTCACATGCAGTCACTGTGCAACATGTTCTGCTGCTCTTCAGGCAGGCTCGGAGCTGCTGGGTTTAGGGATAGACTCTGTCCTGCAGGGGACATCAGCTTTGCAAAGCACTTGGACAGCAGTACCCTGAGTGGGGTAGGAACCAGCCCTGGTCTTCCCAGACCAAAGCTGGGTGGAATTGCCTCCTTGTGTGTAATGCCACCCAGCTTTTTGGGCAGCAGTAGTAGCTCTGGGGAGAGATGGGGCTTGTAGTCATCTTCCTGCTTGTTTTCTCTCTACCCTGAGTAACAGCCACAACTTTGCTTTACATCCTGGGAGTAGCACTGCCACCAGAACCCTGTGGAGGTCTGTTATTTCCAGGTCTCTGTCTTAGATGCTCTTCCCAGCACTGGGAGCGGGATGCACTGACTAGAAGAGGAGGCTTCACACGTGTTGTTCCCCTTTCTCTCATAGCAGTGTGCTGTCTGGGCTGAGGTGCTGACTTTCAGCTGTAAAGTCTGATTCTTAGAGGAACACTTGATGTTTGCACATGGAGAGCACCAGAGATGGTGGTGACTTGCAGAGGAAGGGGGCTCACTGGGTGGAATGACATTGTCCTCTGCTGGAGGCCATCAGAGCTGGTGTTTCTCAACTGCTCCTTTGCTGTCTGAAGTCTTTCCTCAAGGCACAGCTTGAACAGTTTCTACTGAGTTAAACTGTGAACTTGAAGAGATGGTTCTTGACTTGCCTTTGGCAGGATGCTCTGTGGTGACTGGAAACCTACAAAACACAGGGAAGGTGAGGGCTGGGACTCTCCAATGCTGTTTGGTGACCACAGCCTTTTACTGCTTTAAGGTCAGGATTCCCATCTCTCCTGGACCAGTCGGGAAACACACATGTTAAAGCTGTTACAAGAAGCTTAGAAACATTTAACCTCAAGTGCTTTATTTTGGATGCTTTAACCTTAACAGCCCTTGAAAGAGTCTTTGCTTTGTGAGTTGGAGCTTTTTGGATTCTTAACTGCTCTGCCCGGCACAACAAAGACGAAGAGGGGAGTGGAATTACTCCTCTGCTTGTGCATCACCACTGTTTTGGCAACGGGAGGGTTGTTGCAGTGCCCTGTCAGCCAGCACAGGCTCCGGGTTGGAGGCAGTTGGTCCTGCTGTAGGTCCAGGCTGTACTGCAGAAGGTGCTTCTGAAGGTGGGGTGATGCTGACCCTTCTGTGATAGCAGAACTCAATGGGAGCATGGGTAACTTGGGAAAAGAAAGGATTAAGCAGAAGTGTTGCTGCTTTGGCCACTAATGTGCCCAATTTGAGTGCCCTTTAGCTCTCAGATCTAAGTATTTACATTGTCTTTTACCCCATAGCTCAGTCTCCTTGCTGCAGTTTTGTCTGGACGTGAGCCTTGAGGCAGTGAGTGTGAGACAGAACTGCCCAGTGAGCTCCTCATGAAAAGAAACTCCGGGGATTTGTGGGAATCCTGGAGTAGCTACTACGATAAGGGCTGGTTCAAGTTCTGGATGAACTATGATTTGCAGCTAGAAAGAATCTGGCTTAAGCTCTGTGCAAGTCTGGTTACAAAGCCAAATCCTGATCCTTCCTCGCTTCCTTTGTGAGGATGTCTCTTGCTGAAGATACAACCCGACAGGTCTCACGTCTCTGAGAAGGGCTGGAAGCTGCTGTAGCACAATCCGTGGGGAGATGCCTCTTTCTTTGGAGTTAAAGTCTGCATCTAGCTCTTGGAGAAAAGCAGCATGTTCTCAATCTTCTAACAGCTTCAAGTGTGCAGCCCTGGGGCACACGGACCCTTCATCCTGCAAGGATTGGGCCATTTCCTCCAGGAACACTGGGAATCAGTAGTTTCCCTCCCAGGCATATTGCAATATAATATGAATTGTCAGCATCTGGGATGCAATTCTTTGATGCTTTGTTAGGGTCTCTCACTTGGATCTGAAGCCATTGTTTAGCTTATGAAATGGTGTGCCAGTTAAAACAGAACTTCTCCATAGCCATGTTGGCTTTTGCTGGTGTGTGGCCCCAGCTGAAATGACTTCAGAAATGCACCAGGACTAACTTTGTAGTCACCTACACTAGATGCAACTGGTTTCATGGACTGTTGCAGGTATCTTCCCCATGAGAGAGGATCCTGAATGAAAGAAGAGATGATCCTTGATGAAAGAAGTGCTTTTTGTTTGTTATATTGGTACCTGAAGTCTCTGCTGTGCCTTTTTCTAGGCTCATAATATGGTGCTGTATGGAATGGGCTTGATCTGTGGAGAGCAGTGGTTGCTCTGAAAGCCCTCCCATCCCTGGCAGTGTTCAAGGCCAGGTTGGACACAGGGGCTCGGAGCAACCTGCTCCAGTGGAAGGTGTCCCTGCCGGTGGCAGGGGTTGGAGCTGGAGGAGCTTTAAGGTCCCTCCCAACCCAAACCAGGCTGGGATTCAATGATCATTCTGTAACTGCAGGCTCTTGCTGAGTGTGTGATGAGCTTGGAGACCAACCACGAGCCTCCAGCATCTTCCACTGAAATGGTTTCTCGTCTCTGAGAAGACCTCATTTAACCTTGTTCATAAGTTTGAAATGGGTTTTCCTGCCCGGAACCACAGTGAAGGTGGACATGGACTTGCCATGCAGGTAAACAGCCTTGGTGCTGAGCAAGGACCAGGGGAGGGCATCAGCTTCCTGATGCTTCTCACCCTTCCCTTGAAGCCCGGTTCCTCTTTTCTTGTTCTGTTTCTTTCCCTGAGCACTGAGGTTCCTTCCTAGTTCCCCAGTGCATGGCCTGGAAAAGGAGGAGTTTCTGCCTTGCAGTGCAAAGCAGCCTAAGGCCCATCCTGTTCCTTGTAGAGCAGAACCAGGAGGCCCAGAGAGCCACCTGGGTGAGGGTCCCTTTGCAGCTTGGGCGGGAAACATCCTCTCTGCACCATGGCATGGAAATTGGAGCTGGAAATGTGCTGTGAATGGAAGGGGAGGGCCTTTTCCAGGGAGTCTAATGTGAGCAATCACGGAACAATGAGGTGGTTTAAAATCCAGATCAGTGAAGCACCTTCAGCTGCTGCTCCACCCACTGATGAGCACTAAATGTAATTCATCATTGCATCAGAACAGACTGGTTTAAATGTCTGTGTCCATGTGGTAATTGAAGATGGTAAAAGAGTGCTGTGGAAGGGCACTGCAGGCTCTCCTGTGCTGCAGGGATGGACAGAATGAGTCCCATGTTCTAGCGGGGAGGGAAATGGCTTTCATGGAATCACAGAATCCCAGCCTGGTTTGTGTTGGAAGGGACCTTAAAGCTCATGAAGCTTCCACTAGAGCAGGTTGCTCCAAGCCCCTGTGTCCAACCTGGCCTTGAACCCTGCCAGGGATGGGGCTGTGGTTCTCGCACTGTTGCTCAGTGGCTGTTCACACCATTTACTAACGAAGATGATCTGGACCATGGGTTTATGCTATGGAGGAGTATATGGTGTGCTTGCCTCCCCCTCCTGTGTGGCTGGTTTTAGACATGGAACTGACTATAAACCAGCAGAACTGAGTGTTTCCATGTTGGACAAGTCCTGATGCACAGCACGAGCCTACAAGCTGATGGCTCCGTTCATTAACCCGGGACCTGACGCTTGAGTTTTCTTTTAGTGACTTACTTTGCTCAGTGCAGCACTTTGGCACCTGGGGTGGCAGAAAGCACATCGCTGAGAGCGAGTCAGGGAAGGGAGCTTGCTCTGGGTGCCTCCAGCATGGTCACAGCTCCATGAGAGGTGAGGGAAGGGCTTTGGGACCCACATTCAGTGCCTGGCGAGCGGTTCCCGCCTGCCCTGTTACCTCTGGGAGTGCTTTATTGAACAGGGTGAATACTGATCTGTAAAATGACACGTACAACTGCAGGGCTGATGCTCTAAGTTCTGTGCAAAGTACCTCTTAACATCCAGAACAGAAAACCCTCATCAGACCTGGAGTCCTGCAAGTGAGAGGGGAGAAACCTGGCCAGAGCTGGAAGGAGGGGTTGTGCATTCAAGGTATAGGCTGAAATTAGGTGTAGGCTAATGTACCTGTTAACAATTAGCCTTGGAAAAGCCTTTTTTCTTGCTGCTTGGCACAGTGGCCCTTCCTTGTCTCTTGGTAAGGGAGTTCTGGGCTGACTTTCCTCTTCCTCCATCACTTGGTTAAAGACTGTGCTTCTCACATGTGATCTAGGTGCTCCTCCTGGTTTCCCTTGTGCTGCTGGCATGGTCTCTGTTCTTCTCTGCCCTCTTATTCAGTGATATCCCATTTCCTTTGTGCTCAGACTGAAAATATGGGGTCTGCAGGTAGAGCTCCATCAAACAACTCATTCTTTCCTGGCTTCCCCCCTCTCCTATTCCTTAATTTGCTCATCCCCATGTTGTCAGGAATCTGTTGTTTCTTTTCCCATCTGGGTTTGTGTCCTTGGTGGCTATTAGTAGGCTATCTCACAGACACCTTATTAGCTCTTTGTCCTATGTGCAAAATGGCTTTCCCGTAAAATTCCTTTCCCAATCTTTTAGCCTCAGGAGATGGGATTCTTGGCTCAACTCCCCATGTTGCCTGTGGGGTATTGTCTTTTCTGCAAGGCGTGTCATACAGGCTCCTCTGAGGTTGACTAAAAGGTCTTCTGTGCTCCCAGGAGGCTTGAAAACCCCACAACCTTTGACTCGGAGGCTCGAAAACCCAAGCTGCACACGTGCACTTTGTACCAGGGTGCTGGGCAGGACTTGCAGCACGGGCTTGCTCTCCATGCGGTGTGTTTCCATGGAGTTCTGCCGAGCAGCTT